ATATATATATACTTTGGTAAGAATGTATATATGTTTATGATCAGAAAATATATTAAAATCATAGAAGCAAAGGAGAAATTAAATGACAGTTAAGCACCAATGATAGAATTATTACTATTATTATTGTTGTTTTCATTTTTCTATTTTTTTACAATGAATAACACTAAAAACTATGTTTGAGATTTAAATTCAAATAGTTCTGACCACAATTTTCAGAGCCACTCGTCACTCTTAACTAATTCTAAATCTTTGATTTATAGGTTCTGAGAATACACTAATCACACTCCAATGTTTGATTTCACTTCATTCTCACATGTACAGTAAGAAAGTTTTTGCTGCTCTCATATTTTAGGCTTAAGAAACATGTCTAGAAAGGTGACGTGACTTGTTCAGTTACACGAGTAGTCAATTTCCCTATCAGTAATCACAGTAATATAATCCTCATCAATATAAAGACTGAAATATAGTTACCAGTGAGATTAGCAATGGCAAAACTAAATGAGGTATATTAAAAATTAGAACTGATAATACAGTTGTTTGAAAAACTTCTATCTAGTACTTTGGTAATCTAGAGATCAGATATAAAATAAACCTAATGTCTCATCAGATGAGGCAGAATATGAAGCGATGATAAGTGAAAAAAAACACTGAGTATGAAATCTGGGGAAATCGTTTTTAGGCTTAGTCATTCCAATGAATAGCCACAAAGAATTATGCTGGATGTTAGTTTTCTAATCTATGAACTAAAGGAGTAAGAAAAGTATGCACATTCTCATGTAGATCTAAAGTTTTATGGTTGAGTGCTTAAACACATGGTTAATTCAAATGCAAAACTGGTTCATTTTGTTTCTATAGTTTTCATTTATGGTATGTATGCCTGTTTGTTAATATGTTTTCCTTCTTTTATTTTTAAAATAAATTTTTAAAAAAGGAAAACTCTGGGAGTCCTTAAAGATCCATTAATTCATATTTCTAGCTTCCTATGCAAGTATGATACTGCCTCCCTTCTATTTACTACAAGAACAAATGATATAGTAACTTAATAAATACAACAGAAAGCATGATGTTGAGAAGAAAAGAAAATAAGCTTTGGAGTCAAAACAACTTGAATTTAAATCTCATCAAACTTGAGGCAGTGTGTTACTGTCTCTCTCTGAGCCAGGGTTCTCATCCATCAAAGGGAAATAATACCACTTATTTCATAAGATTCTTGTAATAAATAAGATGATTTACATGAAGTTTATTTGCTACATTTAAAATCTTGCTTTTGCCAGGCATGGTGGTGCATGCCTCTAATCCCAGCACTCAGGAAGCTGAGGTAGGGGGATTGTTGTGAGTTCGAGACCAGCCTGGGCTACAAAATGAGTTCAAGGCCGGCATGAACTGCATAGAGAGACCCTGTCTCAAAAAGACAAAAAATAAATAAATAAAATTAAAATAAAATCTCGCTTTCAACTTGGTCTTATTATACTTAACCAACCTTATAATGTGAATTCCTTTGTGCTCTGTTCTGCAGCACCACTCCACATATTTGACAAAAATGATCTGTAAAAAGTCCAGCCCTTTTCTGCTCATTCTTATTGGCATCTGTGAACAAAATAAAGGGAAGTAAGATAATATATCATGTTCACGAATATTTGGAAATACCATTTAATTCCTCACGATGTATTTCTTCTCTTCAAAACTGAGTGATTTTGAGGGTATAGCTTGTTTCTCAAGTATACCATTTTATATACTAATATTAAGTATGCCTCATGTCTAATGATGAATAGGGTTATATTCATTTAGGATGATAAATCTAGGTGATGACCCTCTAAATAATAGACACAAGAGCATCAGTAGCTTCATGAGAGTCCCAAAATGATTTGGATAATCAATAATGAAAGACTGAATTAAAAACCCAAGCCTTTATATTTTTTGTTTTATGGCACAAAATCCTAAGAAATGGAGTCATAAGACTATCACTTATCTTGAGATATAGTCACAATGTTATCTAAAAGTCCCAGGGAAGTACAAATCACCTTTGTCCATGATAGGTAAACAACCTTGTATCATTATACAAACACTAGAGCATTCATTTGGCTAAACAAATCTCATATAAGTCCCCCCAAAGATATAATGTTCATATAAAATAAAACCTAGAAATAGATGCTGTATTTTTCACTGTAATAAGTAACACATGCCAAATATTTCTGTATTTACACTTCAAGTCCTCACATTTTATCTGACATCCTTAATAACTTCAACATACTGTGCCAAAGGTTTGTTGTTTATGTATAGGATATAAGTCACAAAATATCAAAATTGTGTTCATTATTTGGCTATTTACATGAATGAGTTGGTAATACATATACTTTTATGAAAGATGCCAATGGGATATTAAATAAAAAGTTGTAGAATATAATATAGCATACCTAATTTCAAAATTAAATATACACACACATATACAAAGAAAATTATGAATAATATGAACTATTAAAAAATTAACTTTGGGAAGTGGGAGAAATAAAGGATTAAGGAGAGGAAAGTAATATTTTCTCTCTGTATAATTGTCTTAATTTTTGCAAAAACACATATGACTTTCTAATTAAAAATGATCAGAATAGATGTTTGCAAGATAGTAAAATAGGGCTCTCCAGTGTTTGTCCTCCCATAGAAGCCTCAATTTGAAAAACTATCCACCCATGAAAACACCTTCCCAAGCACTAATGAAGCCAAGCAAGTGATTACAGCACTTGGTTATACCCCAGAAATAAGATGCACTGAAAAGTATAAGAAGGTCAACTTGACATTACCTGCATCCCTGCTGCCCAACTCCCTGGCGACCTAGCATAAAAAGCTATAAACAGTGGTTGAGAGAACCAGACTTTATTTTGAACACCAACATTATGTCTACACACCCCACTAAAACATAGTAGGAAGCAGGTCTCCACAACCCCAGCCTACAGACTGGCACCTGAAGACTGAGCCTCCGTTCCTGTTCTGGTGTCAGATCAGATCATTCTTCCCTAGCCTCCGGGTCTGTGCAAAACACTCAGTTTCTAGGTTGCTCCAATGCCAGGTCAGCCTTAGTGACCTTGGACTCTGGACTGCCCTCACCACCATCTTGGCCTTCACCACAGTCCCATGATTTAGGCCGGATGTAGAATCAGGCTGATTCCTGCAGCCCTAGGTATCAGGTGCACACACATGCACCCAACCCTTAAGCCAGAACCTGGGAATATCGGCTGTAGGCCTGTACTCACTGACTGACCTGTTAAGCATGCCCCAGTGCCAACGAAGATCCTGCAACCCCGGGGCAATCCTAATAGCCTCACCTTCCAGGTTGGTCCCTGTAGCCTTATTCTCAAGAAGATGTGGTTCCAGGGATGTTCCGCTAGATCCCAGTGTTAGACTAGCCCCCATAGATTTATGATCTAGGACTACTCCTGTGTACCCATATACCATACTGATCCCTGAGGCTTCAGGACTTAGGTTTACCTTTCTTGACTAAACCTCTAAGTCAGTACAGCCAGCTTTTACAACAGTACCAGAAGCTCCAGCCTTTAGGACAGGCTCAGTGGTTCTAGATATCCCATTAGCACATATGATCCTAGGCTATAAATGAGCCCCTGCAGATTCAGGTTATACACTGGGCACAGCACCCACCTGGTCCCTGCAGCCCTAGGTGCCAGAAGACTCAGGATTTAAGCTTGCTCCAGAATACTAAGCGCTTAGACCTATCCTAATAGATAGATCCTAGTGCCAGGCTGGATGTCTTGAATTAAGGTTCTAAGATCAGTCCTAAAAATTCAGGTACCAGCATTATTCCAGTGGTCCCACGTACCAAGCCTGCCTCAGAATCAAGCCAGACCCTGCAGATCTAGGCTTAGAGCCCACCCTTACACCAGGTCAGTCCCTCTGGGCCAAGGTTTCAGGCTAGATTGTGCAGGCACAAGATCCAGGCCTGTCCTTGTGAACCCAGGCTCAAGGACCGTCCTTGGAGACCCAATCAACATGTCTACCACACTAGATTACAACCTCAGACCCAGTCCTGAGGACCAGATACAAGGCCTGCATGTCTGCTGACCCTGGTACTGGTCAGAGTGCCAAGAATAGCAGAAGCAAAGACTTCCTGAGGACCATGTCAGATGGCCTGCCTAAAATCTCTGAGCAGGCTGACTAGTGAAGGGCTTTCCCTGAGAGAGCCAATCTTCAAAAACTAGTATAAGGGCCTACTTCATTAAGTATGGTGCTATCAATGTAAGGTAACAAGAAACATGAAAAAGCAAGGGGACCTAATACCACAAAAGAACACAATAATTTCTTAGCAGCTAACTAAAGAAATGAAGATATATGAACTTTCTGATAAAGAATTCAAAATAACTGTTTTAAGGAAGCTCAGCAAATCCAAGAAAGTAGAAAATTCAATGCAATTAAGAAAACACTAGTGGCAAAACTAGATATTTAACAGACAAATCAAAAACTATAAGTAAAAAATCAATTCTGAAGTTGAAAAACACAATGAAATGAAAACTACAACACAGATCATCAGCAGAAGACTAGATCAGGCAGAAGAAACAATCTACAACTTCAAAGGCAGCTTATTTGAAAACATATAAACCAGAAAAATGAATGAAGAGGAATGAAGAAAGCTTTGGGCACTGTGTATAGTGCAGCCTGCACTCTGAGCACTTGGGGAGGCTGAGGCAGAAGGATCTCTCAGTTCAAGGCCACCTTGTCCTACACAGTGAGTTCAAGGCCAGCTGGAACTACATAGCAAGACTCTGCCTCAAAAACAAACAAACAGGAAAGACAGGTTTTGGGATTTATAAGATAGCAAGGAAAGAGAAAATTCTATGGTTATAGAAATTCAAGAACGAGAAGAGAAAGATAAAGGGTTAGAAAGTTCATTTAAAGAAAAATAGCAGAAAGCTTTCCAAATTTGGAGACAGATGTAAATATCCAGGTACAGGGGCTGGGGATTTAGCTCAGTGGCACAGCGCCTGCCTGGCAAGTGTGAGGTTGTGAGTTGGATTCCCAGTACCGGAAAAACAAAACCAAAATCAAAACAAAACAAAAAATAAGAATATAAATATCCAGGTACAGAAAGGTAGAAGGTCTCCAATGAAATCCAAGCCAAACAAAATTACTCCTAGACCTAAAAATTGAGGACAAATAGAGGATCCTGAAAGCTGAAAGAGAAAAGGAAACAATACAGAAAGGAGTTTCAAGTTACATGAGTCTCATAAAGGCTATCAGTAGAGTTCTCAGCAGAGACTACAGACCAGGAGAGTGTGGGATGATGTACTGAAAATGCTGAAGGAAAAAGAAATCTGTCACCCAAGGCAGGAGGTAAGAGGCAGGACTATCGTATCCAGAAAAGCTGTCCTTCAGAAACGAAGAAGAGATAAAGACTTTCCAAGACAAGCAAAAGCTGAGGGAGTTTATCTCCACCAGTGCTACCTTATATGAAATGGTAAAGGGAGTACTAGTTGCAAAAAAAAAAAAAAGTGCTACCATGAAAATATATGAAAGTAAAACACGGACTGGTAAAAGTGAATACAAATTCTAATATTGTAATGGTGGTATGTAAACCTCTCGTTTCTTTAGTAAGCAAGGTTAAACAACAAAACTTTTAAAAATAATGACAGCTGTAGGAACTTGAGGAATATACTGTGTAGAAAGTATATGTAATTGTGACATCAAAAATATAAAATGCTGGGGAGAGGTCAAAGTGTAGTTTTACATGATCAAAATTGTTAGTATGTTATGACTATACTTTTGCAAATGTCATACTAATGTCATATGCAAATGTCATACTAACTAAAAAGATCACAGATCCATAAAAGAACAGATATATAAAAGAAACTAGAAAGAAGGAAAGCATACCACTAGAAAATCAACCACAAAAGAAGACTGTAAGGGAAGAAAAAGTGAGCAAAAGATCTACAAAAAATGAGAAAAACAATAACATGACATTTTAAAATCCTTAAATCAATAATTACCTTGTATGTAAGTGGGTTAAATTCATTAACAGTGACTAAATGGATTAATAAAAAACAAGACCCAAATATATGATGCTATAAGATTCACTTCATATTAAAGGACATATGCAGAATGTGAAAAGATAGAAAAGATATTCTATGGAAATGAAATCCAAAAGATAGTAAAAATAATTGTATTTACATAAAAAATTGAAAATACTCATTTAAAACTTATGTTAACCGGGTGTGGTGGTGCATGCCTGTAATATCAACACTCAAGAGGGTTGCTGCAAGTTCGAGGCCAGGCTGGGCTACATAAGCAAGTTCAAGGCCAGCAAACAAACAAACAAATAATTTATGTTTGATATCTTCAACTAAGCAAAATTTTCAATAACACTATTGAAAGTATAACACTGGCTGACAGATTCAAATACTGTAATATAAGATTAAGAAGCTTATTTTTAAAATTACAAGTTCAAGACAAGAATAACTAATTAGAAACATATCAGGAATGACTTAATAGTTACTACTTTATCTCTATAAATGGCAGTATCACCTCAATTAATTTTGAGGTTATTTGAAAATATGATTTATTTAACTTTGACCCCAACATCAATAAAG